TCTAGATTATAATTTAAAAGTCACTCATTTAAAAATATTGACTATTTGAATAAGAGGCAGGTAGACATTAACATACTTATATCTATCTACCTTTTAGGATTTACAAATTAATAATTAATTTTCTTAATTATTCTGGAAAGTGCAATGTCAACCTAATGCTTAAGTGCAAGTGATTTTCTAGTCTCAAGAACAAAAATTTAATTATAGCAATTACTTATTCATGCACTAGAGAACTTCGTAATAATAAGGGACTGTTTAACTTGATATTAATTTTTTACTTTTTAAATACTACATGGAAATACATTATGCAGCTATTATACAGAAAATACGAAAATACGAAAATACAATCAATTATAGAAAAGAAGAAAAATATAGGGGGATAGGAGAAGCAAACTGTGACAGATCAAACGGAATTCAGCAAAAAATGGATCCAGAAAGGTACAGAGCATTCGCTCAAAGAAAGATAAAATGAACCTACACGCTTTGAAAATCTATTACGCGAATGTAAAAGATAAACTAAATTACTAGAGTTGAAACATTAAACAGAGGGTCATCTATGTAGTAGTATTTGGAGTACTATTCACAAACGAAGTTACAATTCTTTCTCTTTCTCTCTCTCTCTCTCTCTCTCTCTCTCTCTCTCTCCCACCATCCCATCCTCCTATCTCCCCGTGATTATTGTATGCCATGATTTTCCAACGTCTTTTTATTAAGCGCTTATTTTTATCGATCTCCTTTTATCCGTTGCTTACATACGTGTTGGTTCTGCAGAGATAATAGAAAATTTCATTTCGTAGCATTTATATATTTGGTTATTCTTTATTTGTGTGAATTTCACTTATGTATCTCTTATTTTCTCTTCATTATTCCTTTCGTTTACATTTTCATTATTATCATTATTTTTTCTTCTTATGTCTTTCGTCCGTAGACAAAAGAATAATATATATCATTCTTTAACTTTTTCACTTACTCCATTTTCTGCATTCCTGTTTCTTTTCTCCCACTCGTGAAAGCGAAAAGATACCACTAGTACTTGAAGTATGGCTTAAGGGACGTACGAAGGTACTACGGTTGTGCTTAAAATTCAAGAACTTGAAAGGATTCGGTTGACATTGGTTTTCAATGCAATATTACTGAAACCCATTCGTATAGAATCATGATCGAAACGTTCGCATATCTACATAACAATATGCTTACGAAAATGTTGCCGATTTCAATAATTAAAGTGCAAAGGCTTTAAAATTTTCTCTTAGTTTTAACTACATTTTATGTCAATGTATTGGATCCATTCATAGCCATATCAGTTACATAGCTATAAGTTATGAAGCAAATCAAACTATTTATAAGTGTACGTAATATTACAAAAATTATAAAAATTATCAAACATTTTTGCTTAATAAAGCGTAGAATTGTATAATAAGTTACAGTGGAAGAAGTAAATAATTTAATAACCATATTGTCTTTGTTATTAAATTTATTATAATCAATAATGAATTAGTGGAAAAAAATTATATGATCTAAAATAATACTAATTTAATTAATATACATAATCGCGTAACACGAATGTTTTTATCCCATCCCTGCACAGATCTCCATAATAATTTCAATTTTATTTAAATCCTGACAAATATATATATATATATATATATATTTAGGACAAACTTAATTTGTTTTGTCTCTTAAAAATTGTACATACCTTTCCTACTAATAATTTTCCTACCGCACAGTTTAGAATTTTGCCACTACTAATTTAAAAGATTTCTTATTTATTAATGGAGTTTATATAACTTAAGCATAGATGCTTAAGTGAAGTAGATAAAAGCGTTGAGCAAACGGCCGTCAAAGCTAACCGAAGTTCTAATTTAAACTCGGTCGAAAATAAGTTAGCATTTGATTTCAAGTTTTGTTGAAAGATGTTTCTTGAAGGTTGCGAGTATTGGTTAGAGCCTCGCACTTTTTTATTTCGTCATTAAGGCAGAACGTAGTTTCGGAATTGTAAACTTTGATGAAGTTACTCACACAACTTTCCACAACAATCCCAGTAAATTCGGTGTATCTTTCTTATATATAAAATAAGTAGTTTATAATAAAAAGCATTTTGGAAAATTAATTATTATAAAGCATACATTGTATGTTATTCATTGTAATAATAATTTTTCAATTATTTTAATAAATATTTCTTATATTTATTATACGTGGATTTATCGTATTCATTGCTTAATCAAATATTTCTCGCATTACACGACTAATGGACGTTTTGTTTCACGGATCGTAAATTCAAATGCTAGTATTATATTGATTGTAAATTTTTGTGTAAAAATAAGGCAGATGCCATTCTTTTTTATTATATTGGACCGAGAAAATTATATTAAATACAAAATCATTTGCTAAAATAATTCAACTTGATCAACATTAATAATTATTTACTTTAATCTGGGTTTCTTGCTTTGCCAATACAGTCTGCGAGTCTCACGCAGATGGCAAATAATGATCAAGGACAATAATTATAATATGTTTATTTATTAATCACGGCGCTCGTTCAACATCTAAATAGACAACAAATAAACTGCATCCTCTGCTTGAGCACATCGTTCGGAATATCTGCCGAGTTCGTGGTTACGCGAATACCTATTTACGTGGTTAGGAAATCAGTCGAACCGCGTCGGCTCAGCCCCTCGTATTTCGACTTTCGATCTAACGCTTCATGACTAAGCATTGGCTTCCATATTGTCAAGCACAACGACTATGGCACGACAACCGCAGCCCTATGCATTCGAAATGACCTCGGCTTTTCATGACCGCTGTCGATAAAGAGGATGCACTAGAACGATAAATACGGACTACCCGTAATTCCCGTAATGAAAGGCCCCGTCCGGAGTAACGAGCGCCTAAACGCAAAAGAAGTGTGACTAGTGTAGCTTGGGAACATTGAACAACCTGTTAAATGCTCGAGACCATAATTCCAATGTCAATTATTCGATTATGTAAGAGATATAATGCTAATTACACAGGCTAATGTCCGGCAATTTCAAGCTTGTAAATATTGATGAAAAACGTGCGACGCATGCGCTCGCCCACTTATGCGGAACAGTCTGTTCTTCTTTATTAAGTACAGGCTTGCGACATAATGCTGAGATATTGCGTGATCTGGAGTGTAAGACATTAGTTTTGGCGTGCATGAAATTAATGGAGGGGAAATTGTGAGCTTGAATTGAGGCGAGAGAGTAAATAGATTAGCTTAAACAAACGATTATTTAGGATATAATTTTATAAATTGAAGTTTATACTTTCGTAATACGTGTTTATTATTATGATATTATTATGTGGTTAGTGCGATGTTATTGGCATATCGTTTAACTAATTATTTTAATAGGTATTTAATGGAAATAATCTCAAATATGAATAATTTGTCGATTAACGAAGCAAGAAGCTTTAAATTACTTTTCTTAAGTTTTTTGTTTTTTTTTTCATTTATACTTATAATTTCTTCGAAATATTTATAATCTCTAAATTATCGAAATTCTTATGGGACTAATGACGAAATATTTCCTGTTCGCCATTATCGTTATTTATCGTTACTCAAAGTCGTTAAAAAATTACAGATTAAAATTTCACAACGAATAATAATAAGTTAATAATTGTGACAAAGATTTATTGGAAGTATAAAGATTTTGAGGTATAAAATTTTTTTAAAAACTTTCTATCGCGATATTTTCGATCTACATATACAAATATTTGTTTCTTTAAAAGAAATTTTCTTTGGAAAATATACAATTTTATACAAAAGCAGATTCTTTCGGTTATAGACTTACTGCAAGTTGCTTGAAACGGGATCTTTCAAATATTTTTCGAGGAAATGAATCTTATAATATTAGTTAGCGGTAAATTTTCATCAAATCAACATTTTTTGTAAGTACCATCAATTCAAAATACATATAACGCGTAATTACCAAGTACTAGAATCAAATCAAAAAAAAAAAAAAAAAAAAAAAAAAAACATAACAAGGAAATTCATGAAAAAATATAATTGTTGTTAGATGCATAATATAAAATGAATGCGTGGTATATTCGTCATAGACAGATATTATAAATACCAAACAAACTAGAACGTGTTTACATAATAGGTTTTAACGAGTAAAATTAATTCGCGCATTCATTTGAAGAGAGAAAAAACATTAAAAATATCATCCTATATCGAGAAAAATTAAATTAATAAATATCTAAACGAGATAATTATTAAATGAATATTCACGAATGGATTAGTTAGATAATTTGAACTTGTTTGCAAATTTTACTACTTTTAATTTATAATATTCGACATAATGTTATAAAAAAAAAAAAAAAAAAAAATGCATTTGATGTTCTAGATTACTAATATTTAAAAGAAAATAGATATTAATCGATAAAAATTTCAATCGCAATCTTTTTTATACTCTAATTTGAATTTTATTTGAATAAAAAAAGAAATTTTTCATTTTTTACTTTAAGGTCACATTGCGATCACAGTTCCATTATCAAATTATTTTTTTTTTTTGACCAAATGAGAATAGTCAAAGGAGATATTATGAACATACATACATTATTAAATACTATCGATAAATAATTATTAATTTTATAATTGATCTTCCAAAAATTTATTATTTCTTTGCAGTGAATAAAGTCTATCTGTACGAGCTTTAATTATAAAATTTAATAATATTCGCTTTCAATTTTCGTAAACAAAATTTTCAATATAGACTTTTAAGTATCAGCCTAGGGATATTTTTCATTGTAAATATATTGTTAAATTCTTCATTCAAAGACACCTGCCGAAGACACATATTTTAATAATCAAATATTTGCAAAAGAGTCAATAAATTACCTAGACGCGTATAGATTATTGAAAATAAAATTTTCGCCAAAAGTAGTCAATAAATTTCTTTATATATCCCTCTACCGAATAACAGTGACAGATAAACAAAAGTAACAGTTCGTTCAAATGATTTTAATTGTAATCTTACCATGAACGTCCAATTTAATGTCGATTTTTAGTGGTTCTGCCAGAGCTAAACTGCTAACCTTGCAAGTAAATGTAGCGCCTAATTCACTACGTGCAACCACGAGATTAAGTATGCCACTTCCTGTCCCAATTTCGTGTTCTTCCAGCTCCGATGAACTTTTCGCTGCAAAGTGAAATGTGTTGATTAATTGTACATTGAAAAATGGTCTGCGAGTCAGTTTTGCCGAGGGAATAATATTGAAATTGTCACGCAACTTTTTGCTTATAGCTAATTTTATGAACTTATACTTCGTCGCTTAATTCATACACACGCCGTTCACTTATTTGAAATGCATATATTTTAATATTATTATTGCAATTATAATACGTATAATGTGTTTTTTTTTTTTTTTTTTTTTTTTTTTTTTTATAAGAGAAAAGCTTCGAAAATTTAATTCGGAATTGCTTTTTGTTTATACACTTTCGTTCTTAACTCTAGTTTCTTAATTCGACAACCGAAACTTTAACAAAATCTGAAATTCTAATTAAACAATGTGAATTTTAATATTAATTGAGGGTATTCTCAATCTTCAGAGTTAAAAGACACTTAATTGACGCCCGCCTTTACTACTCTCGAGTCTCATACATTATCGCGAATTATTCACAATATTAGCTTAGAAATAAATACAAATTCAATGAACATTGAATTTGCTAACGAAATCGAAATGTCAGTTGAAATATCTGTCTATCGATAAATTTGGTATTGAAATTCAGAATGTTAATCGCTATTTCTCGTGCTTTTGGCCAAAGTTAATTAAGAACCTTACATATGAGCTGCGCATCGCCGTTATACCATTCCACCGTCGGTACCGGTCTGCCTTTACCGCTTTCGCATCTCAGAACAATTGCAGAACCCTCGATTACCGGGCCCAATACACGCCCATCTTCTAGTGTCTGCTTCGTACTCTCATCTACAACCCTCACCGAAGTTGGCTGAACTGAAACACAAAGGGATGGCAATTAATTACTTTAACAGTTCCTATTTTTAATCGACAATCAGTGGGAGTAGGCAGTATGTATCGTTGGATAAAAATTTCAGTGTAATTAACATCTTATAAGGGTTGCGAGAGTTTAATTTTTCATGTTGCTATTTCAAATTTTGTATTATAAATTAATTTTCTTTTTAAGGAATCGTGCCTCGAATTGTCATGGACTATAAGAAGGAAAATATTAAATCTTGTATACTCTTAGGTACGTAAAGAACATCAGAAATTTTGTTATCGCTCGTCGCATTAGAATGGTGGTATTGGTAAAAGGACATTTTAAGTTATCAGGTATCGATTCACAGATTCCCTAGTAGATTGAGGGACGTCGTATAAAAGTGACAGATAAATTTCCTGGATCCCAAAATCTTTTAGATAAAGGAGATAATAAAGAATAAAATAGATACGAAAAATAAATGTGAAAAGATAATAAAAATTAACTTATGATTTGCGAATGTAAATAGCTCATTTTTCTCAAATTTCTATTATTTTTACTTTCAAATCTTACGAGCGATCAAGCTGTTTAACATGCCATTGTCTACACAAGAATGTGAAAGAATAAACGAAATATAAATGTATCTATATGGACTAGTTATTAAGTTTCAACATTTTCAAAATTTTAATGCATATTGACTATATAATAGATCAAGCATTATATGAAATTTTACATTTTTTCCAATCTCAAAAGAGAAATAAAAATGAGAATTAAAAGAGAAATAATAGAAAAGGCAATAAATAAAAATTAATATAACATCGGTAAATAGGTGAACTGATTTTTTCAAATTATTTTATTGACTGTTAGTTTGAAATAAATGTAATTCTAATGGTATTAATGAATTTGCTGAGAAAAAAAATTATCAATTATATTTTTTAATATACAATTGACAATTAAATTATACATTCTTCAGTTAATTGCAATCTAAACAGTAAGTTTATTTTAAATTGAAGAATTATAAAAATACAATAGGAGTTGATATATTTAGAAGAATTGTATATTTTATGTTTAGAATTAATTAAATAACCCTGATTACAAGATCTAATTTATAAATTTTCTTTGAAGTCACTTATAATTATATATAAATATATTATTTTAATAATTCCATAAACAACAGATAATACAACTTCTACTAATACATCAAATATACGATATTTTCCGGTATTAATTATATTTAATTATAATGCAGCATGTAAATATATACATATTTAGATACATATATATAAATATATATATTTAGAATAAAAAAATTAAAGATACTGATAGTTTTAGATGACAATTAAAAGATATTATGAAATTAGACTTCAATGATATACAAAACAAATATTATGAAGTATTATAATTAGATTAAAGGTATACAAGGAAAATAAATTTTTGGTTTTAATGAATTCGTGTGCTTTTCAATTTGTATCGCTACTATCAAGTTTTCAACGACTATCGCTAAAGCACACTTAAACTGAGATACATAAAAATAAATAAATACATATGAAAAATAATTTTGTTGTTCATGATATATTAAAAAAAATAGTTTATTTTACTGTATTTACACTTGTCAAATACTTTATATTATTTTGAGGATTTTTAAAATATTTTTTAAATATTTAGTTTTCGTAAATATAAAATTATTATATATTTTATACATAAAACTATAATAAATCATAAATATATCAATTGAACTTTATAATTAAGTTTTCTCTATTATTTTTTATAATAATATATGTGTGTGTGTGTGTGTGTGTGTATATTTATATATATATATATATATATATATATAGTTTATAAAAATTTATAGACAATATAAACAACTATGTTAAAACATAGTGAAAATAGAAGAAAATTCTTATAGTATGTAATCTGAGTTTTAGAAAAATTGTTTATTCAATATATTAAATAATTGATACTATAATCTGTAGATATAAATAATAATGTATATCACAATAAATGTGTATATCACTATAGAGAGTGCATCACTTTAAACTGAATTTTCATAAATCAATTTGATAAAAAAATTATAGGATATCCCTATTTAATTTCAATACCTGCATTTGAAATAACAAGATAGACGAAAAAAGTAGAAGACAAATATTGCAAAGAAAATTCTGCAGCCGGCAAGTGGAAGACAAATGCTGCCGCATAGGAAAGGCGATAGGCGATGGTATATTAAAGAAAAAACTACCATGCCTGTTCAAAGAGAACGAAAGAGAAACAGAACGAATGGGAGAAAACGAGAGAAAATGGTTATATAGAGCAGAAAATAAAGAGAGAGAAAAGTGCGCAGTGATGTAGGCAGAATTCCCTTGGGATTACCAGCATGCCGCGAGAGCAATGTAGGTCGAGTCGTTGAATATTAAACTTTTGGCCGTTGAATATTAAACGACCAATCCGAGAAGACTTATGCGTATAACCGAATGAGCCTGACAAAGGAGAATACGAGATAAATAGAGAGGTAGAGATATAAAGGGAGAGAGAGAGAGAGAGAGAGAGAGAGAGAGAGAGAGAGCGTGCGAGTGAGAGGGTTAAAGAGGGGGACAAGATAGTGCGAGTGGGAGACACTTAAAGCGAATGGGTGGGCGAGAGTGATAGAGTGATGGGGGATGAACGATGGAAGTAGACAGACTACTCTTAAAAGTGACTTTCTTAACATCGAATTTCTTAGGCGATTGCACAACTATGCGATTGTGTATACCTACTCAACATAAGTCATTTTTACTCGTCTTTTCTTTTATCTTTATAAATTTAAATTAAAATGGAGATAATCGACCGAATCAACATTAATAATAGACTTTTAGAGAATTTATTATAATTGAAGTACTAGTATTTTTATATTTGATATGTAGAATTCAAGTAATTTGCATAGATCTGACATCAGACATGGTTCGTCAAATTATTTCATTATTAAAATTTAGCATAAATATTGAATTATTGTTTTCCGTTTGCTAATTGGATGCTTCGAAACTACTAAAATTTAAATTTAAGCAGCATTCGAATTAAATTTTTAAGGCGATCAAAGCAAAACGAATTAAGTATGGCTTACATACGATATTTATTCGAGATTAAATTGTAGAATTAACGTGAAATGAAATATATTTTACATACTTCAATTTATTGCAATTCAAAATTCAAACTTAATATATTATTCGAACATATTTATAAGTGTTTACAAATATTTATTTTAAAAGGCATTAAAGTAATTTATAATTTTTTAAATAACTGTTTACAATATTTTTCGCTTAGTGAAAAATGCTATGAGAACAACTGTTATATGTTTTATTTTATAGAATATGTATATTTAATGGGATTTGATTAAATATTTAAATTTCAGAAATTTCAATGAATATTATAAATTAACATACATAACTTATATATAAATTAATAATAAAAAATGTTCAATATTTAATCAAATACAATTAAATATACATATTCCATAAATTAAATTCAAACATAGTAGTTTAATGGTATTTTGAACGGAGATTTATTTAATTTCATACAATACTATGTAATATAATATATAAATGCGTGTATGTATGTATGTATGTATGTATGTTCAAGGGATTTCAGTTGGATAATCACTAAAAGTATATTATTTCAATTGATTTTCATTACACATAATGAAAAATTGCATATCTACACGTATATTTATTGCCCTTTAGTTAATAGGCATTTGATAAACTATTAAGATAATATAAAGTTTTAAATTTCAGTTGTCATATTAAAAACAGCTGTCTTCAAGGTATCCTGTTTTCATAGTTAATACTACGAGAATTACTTTAGATTTATTAAGTATTTAATATTCACATTCAACGTCTGTTATCTAATGCAGTTGAAAAGCTCAGCTGCTTAACTTTGTGAATGCTCATGTAAGCGAAAATTTTGTGCTGCAAATTTTGATAGCAAGCCTCAGGCACTGCTGTAATGGTGTATACAATTTGAAACCACGAAGTTCAATTTAATTCACTTATTTTCGTAAGATTTTAGGCAGTGCATTATTTTTACTTTCGCAATATATCTCCTTCATAAGCATATATTTTCCCTTTGCTATTACATTTAGAAATATGTGAAATATTACATTGACGATCTCTTCATATATATATAATTGAGAAATTTGTAATATTAGCATAACGATAATCCGCTTTCAACTTCTCTCCTTTAAAATATCTTTTTAGTTTTCTTTAGAAGAAAAATTTTCTACTTAATTTTGTTTAAATTATTAAAAAAAAAAAAAAAAAAAAAAAAAAAGTAATAAAAATTTATCTTTAAACGTCAGCCGTGTAGACAAATTATTAAAAAGAAGAAATAAATTATGATAACATCGTTTAACCCACTGTATAAACTCATTGTCATACAAAAACGTTATATTTAAAATATATTCAATTATTAAATTATATTATCAATATAATTTATTTTTTCAACATCTGTATCTCTTCCACGTTTGCAATAATCTGATAATATGAATAGGAGTGAGCAAACGCTACTGGCAACTATACAGTAATACATTTATGCTGTCACACACACACACACACACACACATGCGCGTAATGATAGATTTTTTTTCCTTGACAACAGATTCAATTTTTAAGCTTTTAAATTTATTTATTTTATTAGTTTTGAGGTAGTCTTGCTAATACCGGATAAGCTTCACATTATCATTGATATTCATATAGTAAGACTTAAGTATTTTACCATTAGAAAATAATGAAAGGATATAAATAATAAATTTTAAGGAAGAAATTTGCATTTGCATGAAAATGCACTAATACGCAGTACGTACATTTGCCTATTTAATATAAATATCGGTATAATTGTTAAATAGTTTTCTTTGATTTATTCCATATAAATACAGGGGTAATTTTGTATTGATGTTCGTTTAATTCATACGATTTATTGGGTTTGTTTCAACATTGGCCCATTTATCGTTGTGTTTAAAAATGTTTATCCTAATTAGACACTTATTTATATCAATTTACGGA